GACGCCCTTCAATTTTTAGGGTAAGGATTTTAAGAAAAAAGTATCGTCTTATAGTCGGAAAAATATGGTAACATTTTCGTGGGAAAAGAAAATACACTCATTGCTTTCTGTTCAAAAAGTGGAATATTTGTCTACTATGACCCTCTTCCCCTGGCTAAAACCTTATTTTGCACACTACTATGGACTTATTACAGGAAGTTGTCTACATTATAGGAATACACGCACACAGACACAACACATGGTTATAGAATTCCTGAAGTTACAGCACATGGTTTCTCAACTAAACGATATACTTGATGCATCGTATGTTGTGCCAGGAAGCATCCTGTGTATCTTGCAACTCTATGAAGAGAATGTCCTGATTTTTGTAATTTCCATGTACAGGGAATGCTGCTCACATGAATTTTACTGCTGACAAATGCCTGCACATTTGCCACAAACTCCTTGTATGTTGCCAACAGTACCTGGCCAGGCCTCCTTCGCCTCATTTTTGTCTCTGAAATTGTTATCAAAGCCTCTCAAAACATCTCAACACTCTCCTCTGGATATACATTGTATGGGTTGGCAACTGTCAAGATTTCTTTTAGGGAACTTGGTTCTCTATTATTATTACTTTACACTAGTAATCCTAGATAAACTTCTTAGGAATTCATTCATTCACCAGAGTCATTGGGAGTCAAGTGGCATACAAATTAAATACACAGATACATACATACATACAGATGCATTCATGCTGATCACTGTGCTGAAAATTTAGTCTGCAGTCTATATGACACTGTGGGAATGGGAAACACTCTTCCCATTGCACCTATTAGCTGCCTAGGTGGACAGCATAAAAGAGGGAAGCAGGAAGTAGTACAGAATTGTAAGTAACTGCCACAAGGACTTCTCTGTCAGGGTTATTAAGTATATGGATGGTAGTGGTGGTAGTGGTTAGCAGTTAGGTGATTTTCCTGCACATCTGAGTCTCATCCTCCTTGTAAAGACTGAAGTTGGTGAGGTGGAAACCATTGCTGCTTAGGCCAGATAGAACCATTGTGTAAACACTGTATACGTGCCTTCCAATCTCAAGGCTGGGAAAAGGGTGGCATAAAGTCCGTTGACTGGACAGAGCAGAAGTAAAAGGCTTAGGATTTAAACCTGGGGATTGACATATATGTAGGGCTATTTCTGTGTTTGGCAGTAGAGGTGGTCCTCCCTTAATGACAATTGGGACTGGCAACTCAGTTGCTAAGCGAAACATCACGTGACCGTGCCGGGCTTATGTCATTTCTGCTGCAGTCATTAAGCTAACCACCCACGGTTGTAAGCGAGACATCACATAACTGCAACTTGCGATTTAACTGCTGGTTTCTCCATTGACTCCATTGACTGCTTGTCGGAAGCTGGCTGTGAAGTGTACAAATGGTGATCATGTGACCACGAGACGCTGTAACAGTCATAAATGCATGCCAGTTGTGAAGCGCCTGAATGGCTATCATATGACCACAGGGACGCTGTGATGGTCATAAATGCGAGGACCCATTGTAAAGTTACTTTTTCTGTGCCGTCATAAATTCGAACAGTTGCTAAACAGGGCAGTCGTTAACCTGTAAGCAGATCTTCTCCTTCTCTCTCTCTCTCTCTCTCTCTCTCTGTATACATATGGTATCCTTCTTATCTGTAATAAAAATATCTTACAGTATCAAGTTTGTGATGCTTTGGCTGTTAACTAGTCACTGATGCGAGGTTGAGTTTCAGCAGAGTAAAGATTTATCACTGCCCCTTTAGCTATAATTGGCTTTGTGGATGAAACCAATGAGATGGTGTTTCTTACTTCTCCCCTTAGTTAAAAAATGTATGCTGCCAACAGAATTCTTCATTCACAGTCTAGCCTTTAGAGTAAAAAAGAAAATTTGAATGGTTCTTTTAGTCAGACATGTCAGTTCAGCTTCCCCATAGTGATAAGTGCTGTCTGCTTCAGTACAGTCAAGTATGTTTCTTATCAAAACCTTCCAAATGGAATTCTCTTCCTCTTGCCAAGTTTCTTACTCTCCCATATTTTTCCAATGACATTTAACATTTCTCAGAAAGAACAAAGACATCCTCTGGTGAATCCTATTTTAAGGACTAATTCTCTGTGCCTTAATGCTACAGTCCTGACAGACTACAGTAGGTCCTCCACTGTGGACTGGTCCCAGCTTTATATTTAACATACTGTTTAACAGAAATAATGTGAAACCCTTTCATTGTATCCTTTTTTTGTAGAAGCTTTCCCTTTCCCAAAATGTTCTTACTAATGTTGAAGAAATAGCAACCAGGGCAGGGCACGTTGCTTTCATCACATGGTACCAATGCTAGATGATATTTATTTTGCTTAGTCTTATGATTTATGATTTTATTTCATTACCAGAAATGCAAAAGGCTGCAATGTAGCCAAGATTATTTTTAGTATTTTGATATGCCAGTGACAAAGTCCATCTGCATTCCATTCCAAGCCTCTATTTTCTTTGGTCTCCTAACCCCTTGGGATTAGACCTAAGGCTTGCCTGGAGCTTTCCTCCAAATGGTGGGAAATGCAAAGTCATCTTGTGGTCTGTGGGTGTCAGAGATCTGGCAACAGTACAGCTGATATTTGAAAGATAGTGCACCAGGAATTAGTAGCCTGGGGGGAGTGAGCTCCTGTGTGGATGTGTATGATATTTTTCTTTTAACCCTAAAGAAAGGAATGCTCCAATTCCATTGTTTGAAATCTATATACTCTCTAGCTCTAGAATTTAATAGCACAAAATAGAGGCTGCATTACAAGAAGACTGAAAGGAAACACTCCTAATTTGCCTCTTTTAATGAGGCAATTAAGTGGTAGTGTTTAGGATTGCATTGTATCATCTTGTAATGTGAGTATATCTAAGCCTGCGGTGAACAATTGTTTAGGTCAGTGGGCAATGAGGCACTCGAAAGGGGATCTGCAGACATGATATTGATATACGTGGACGTGCAGAAAGAAGGCCTGTGATATAAATGCTTTTGTTGATAGCTGAAGAAATATATCCTGTATAGGTACAAAAACCTAAGATAGTTAGGCTGACTTTTCTCTGTCCTCTCTACAAAAATGCTATGTACTTCACCTTTAATTGCAGGGCTCTTTCTGATTATGCACCATGACTAATCTGATAAAGAAGGTGCTCTGCATTTTGGAAAACAGGTTGCCTTGGGTGTGAAAAATTGCCCAGCTCTTTAAATAGTGCTTTAGGAAACTTGTTAGCTGTTGTTTAGCTAAGATTTTTTTTTCCTACAGGCTTGCCTAGAATTGTTACAAAGCTATGGCTCTTAATCCACATGAATGTCAAAAACAAATACATAACCATGTTAAAACAAAATTGACACTGTTCCCCCACCCATAAGTGTGGCTTGCTATATGTAATAAATACAAGGACTAAAGCATAAGACGCTTTCTGACAATTCTTTATTCTTGCTTTATCTTAAGTGATAGATTAATGAAGACAGACTAGAATGAAGACAATCGTTACAAATAATTAAAATTGATTCTTTCATATGAATTCTCAAGTAAGAGAGTTTACTATGCATTGATTTCTTTGACAATCATATTGTATCCACAACAACCCATTGTCTATGCAAGACACAAAGACTATCTGAAAGTGTATTACTATCTTATGAGTACAAGCAATGTGTAATCACAAAGTCCAAGTAAGATCTCCTCAAACAAAATCCGGGAAAGCACTACAGTAATTCTCCTTGCCCAGCTGCCTGCATTTCTGGCAGCAAATGTTTCGTTTCGTCTGTCTGTCAGTTTATCTATCTATGACACTTTGTACCTTTATTTTGGCACAAATATTATTATGCCATTTAGCACAAATACTTAATATGCCAAAGATCTTTGGTTTTCATGTGTTTGTTTTATAGTACACAATTTGAAAGGTAGCATCATTTTCTGTGCCATATTACAGAAGTGAGAAAAAAGTATTTTTTTCCCTTTAATTCTTTTAATGAAGTTGATGCCATTGGAAATTAAGCAGAAAGGATTGGAGCAAACCCAAGGAATGCTTTCCATCTGGTATACCGCAGTAAATTGAATTTCATTGCTTTTATAATATTAAGTTCTATTTTTTTTTCAATCCATTATTTTATCACACAAATCAAAGGAGGATTATTTAGCAGCCCTCAAAGCAAGTTAACCTTCTTTGACTTAGCTCCATATAGTATATGCAAAGCATTAGATACAAATATAAGGCTCACTGAAATTAATAGCAAAAGGAATAACAGCCCAGCTGTGACTCTGAATAACTCTCACAGAAATAGCAGCTACATGTATACCTTGATTTGCATAAACCTATATAAGGGGGTTGTATCCCTGCCCTTTTTTAGACTTGTTATTGCAATCTCTAGTACCAAAATAAACACAATTTGTACTTCTATTGATGGGGGTTCTAGTTGCTGTTATTAAACAAACTCATAAAGGATATTTTTTTCTTACACTGTAAGAGCTAATCATGCACTTATTTAGCTTGCTACCTTACATTTATATATTATTTCTACTTTATGCATGCATTATTTTGTAAAGGCTTGGGCATGAAAAATAACTAGTGCATATTTAGAATCAATAATAGTTTTACATTTTTGATTTTTCATCTCA